GGGGGGGGGGGGGGGGGGGGCTGTCTTAGTGGAGACACCTGTGCCATTCCTTTTGCAGTGGGATGTACTTTGTTTCATCAATCTGCACAGCAACCCAAGGGAATATGGGTCAAGGAGTCCATTTTAAAAATCAGGAAAGTGAGGCCCAGGGCCCCTCAGCTACTCAGGATCAGGGCTGGAGCTAGGACCCACAATGCATCCCACCCCTCCAGCCTATCACCTCACCTACCTCCATTTCAGGGGCTGCCTGAGTTTGAAGGGGATGTCCTTGCTGTGGGCAGCCCAGCCCTGACCATTGAGGGCATCTATGAGGATGTCATTCAGGGGGTCCTGCTGCAGAGGATCGATAGAGGTGAGTCACACCCCCTACCACTTAGGAGAGCCTGGTGACGCCTGGCTGTGTATACTAAGCCCTACCAGGGCCCCTATCACCTTACTTGTTGTGAATAGTAGCCCTTTGACTGTGGGTTCAGACTGGGTCAGAGGGGATCTGGGGTGGATGAGCCTAGAGGGGCAGTAATGGAAGTTCCCTGAAAGAGGGGGCATTGGAGCAAGGTTCTGAGGGATGTGTAGGAGTTCTCAGCATGAGTGGAAGTAGGCAAAACTCAAAAACTGTGGATAGATAGTCACACATAACCATTCAACAATCACTGCCTATGTTTCTGTGGCATTGAGGCCCCAAGAGTTCTTGGACTTGGCGTAGGCCTCTCAGGATCTCCTGCCCTGGGAAAAGCCTCCAGAATCGTCTCTTCTCCCTCCTGCCTTGTCTGCTCGCTCATGACCCAATGCTGTGACTGCTGAGACATGTGCATTAACTGGTGGCTGAGCAGTATGCCATGGTGATTCAGGGAATGTCACAGCATCCACATGGCTGGTGCAGAGGGAGGGAAGGAGAACAGAAGACCAGGAGGCTGGAGCCTGCCGAGGCAGACGTGCAGGGCCTTGAGTGACAGGTAGAGGAGTTTAGACATTTTGGGGTAAGCAATAGGGAGTCATGGAGGGTGTGTGAGCAGAGGACGACAGTGGCCAGACTGAAAGCGAAGGAGGAGGTTGAGGGCCTCCTCCCGGGGACAAAGGATAAGCCCGAGCGGGGTAGCCACCAAGAGGATCAAGCCTAGTTACGAGGACAAAGCAGGAGCAGAGGTGCCAGAGTTGCTGGCCTGGGGTGTCACTTAGTACATGGGAGGGGCCGCACCTGGGGATGGAGTGTAGAGAAAGGAGAGGCATCTAAGAGAGCCTATATTTGAAGGCCACAAAGTGGAAGAAGGGACAAAGACAGAGCAGTTTCAGAGGTGACAGCAGGGTTCTGGGAGCCAGGAAGTAAGGGCGAGGATGTGTGCTGGGTCTTGGGGTGGCCAAACAAAAATAACTGAGTTCCCTTAGAATAGAAGACACTTTAAGTGAAAAAAGGCTATTCTCTGACTGGAAAAAAAATCCAGAAACAGGTGGGTAACCCCAGAGTTTCCATTCCTAGAGGTTTCCCATGTCCTTAGGTGGTTCGATCCTCAATTGATTGTAGCATCTGCTTGGAGTACCATGTTGGGAGGTGGAGCTGGTAGCTTCTGGCTCAGTGAAGATATTGGGGATCAACTAGCAATGCCCGCCACAGGCACAGGCATGGAGAGAGGCTCTTGAGAGCCCCTTGTTTAGGGTTCCTGGTTGAGACATTTCCTCCATCCTTTGCCCTCTTGTGGCCTCTTTGGGAAAATGCATGGAAGCCCTTGAATGCTGGGGCTTCTCCAAGTGGATCCAGGGGGTGATCTGTTGTTTTAGAATTGAAAAAGGCCCTCGGTGCCAGCGATGTATCCTGTGCTCTGGATGGCTGCTCAGAGGCCCCATGGGACCAGGAGGGAGCAGGTGAGGACCTCACAGGTTCTTTGGGCTATGTCAGCTGGTGGGTAGAGGAGCCTGCATAGGGTGTACGGGATGGTTGAAAGTGCAGGTTCTTGGATGGAATAGCATCCACCTGTCTTCTGATGTGGCTGGGCTGGCCAAACTTGTGTTGAACGAGGGCAGTGGAGAGCCACAGAGAGTGTTAGAGCCACAGAGGGACCCTCTAAGCCCAGGCTCTGAAATGCACATGAATTTGTGTCCCATTTCTTCTGGCCAAAACTCAGTGGGGCCTCTCCCAGCATCTACTAGTTCCTAACACTGGAAAGAGAGAGAGATTGTGGTGATAGGGACCTTGAATTCCCCATGAGCAAGGGCTCTGCAAGACGGGAGCAGGAATTCTGGGGTTGCTCCCAGCTTAACCCTTTTGGAAACTGCTGCTATGAGGGCCTTAGGAACCCACCCAGCTAAACTGCTCCCATGTTCTTCACCCACAGAAACTCTGAGTTAATAGATGTGTGTTTTTTCAGCTGCTAACTTTTGGGGCCATTTATTACATAGCCAGAGCTAACTAATACATTTCCCAGAAGGCCTGGGGCAGCATTCCATAGTCAGTCACTGCAAATAAACTGATGAATTTTCACACTCACTGGAATAAACAAAGATTAAACAGTCTTACAAAGACTTCTGGGTGTCAGAAGATTTTGGGATTTGCAATTAGTGAGGTGAGATTGTGGGTGGGCCCCTTAATCTGTTTAACCAGAATCTAAGTGATGATGGGTGTTTTGCTTCTAGTCTGACCCTCTAACAGGTAATGCCACAGGGGATGACCTGGTATGTATGTACTTTTCAGGCAAGTGCAGGTCTCTGTAGGTAAATCCCCTAATGTGAAATCTCAGGGTTTAGAGCACGTGTGCTTGTCACTCCAGTAGTGGCCTCCAGAGCTCTCCCCACCAGTGTGGTCTCACCTGGTGCCCCTTACCTGTGTGCATGTGGCCCACAGGCTGTCAGCTGACTTGTAATTTCTTATACCTTCTGTGTGGAAAATAGTGTCTTGGCCTCATTTTAATGAGCACATCTTCTTGGAGATGAAGATGAGCATCTTTTCATGTGTTTAGGTGCTGTTTTTAGCTCCTCTGTGAAGCTCCGTTCCTTTCCTTGGATCACTTATATTCTGGGTGCTTATAAATTTCTATTAAGTTTTTATTGCTAATCTCTCATTTACTGAGCATTTATTATGTGCCAGACATTTGATGTGTCTGGTTTTTTGGCATTCTTATGACACTTCCCATTTTACAGATGAAGAAACTGAGGCTCAGAGAGGGACTTTCTCCAGGCAGCCAGGCTCCTGCACTGAGGTCCAGCCACTCTGCCTACTGCCGTCTCCAGGGACATTACGGAGTTGAATCTTTGCTCACATCCATCTTCATTATCAATGGATAAATGTCTACTGGTGGAATTTCTGAGTCATATGCACCATTTCAAGGCTTTTATAACCCCCTCACCTCCACCTCACTCGTTTTCAGAAGCGCTGAGCCTTTTTACGCTTCCACTAGCAGTATTTGTGCTTATTCTCCATATCCCTTCCAAACACTAGGAATTTTCATAAAAGAAAAGTCCATTTGATAGGCACTCACCCATTTCTTTTTTTTTTTCATTTTGAGTTTCTTTGATGACTAAAGTGAACCTAAAAATATGTTTATTGGCCATTAATATGTTTGTGGGATTTTTAAACATTGAATTGCCTGTTCATGGTTTTACCTACTTTTTCCTTCAGGAGATTTTTATCTTTTGCTTATTGATCTCTAATAACTTTTTGTATATTAAGGATATTAATGCTTTTTTATCCAGGTTACAGATATTTTTTCTCAGCTTGCTGTGGGCCTTTTGGGTTTGTTTACTCGCACCAAATCTTAACTTGGTATCAAGTCAAGAGAGCTTTTACTGACTTCCCTTGGCTTGCCAGAAAAGTCATCTGTCCTCTCCAGTTTGGCAGCTCCTCCACATCACAAGCCTTCCGGCTGCTTCCGGAGCATGTTCCGGAGGGATTTCCCCAATGTGCGTCTCGGTTCAGCTTTCAGAAGGGGACCCGCACCCTCCATGGAGATGGTTTCCTCCCATTTTTGTCCTGGAGTTTTCAGCCTCCCACAAGAGAGTAAGATTTTCCTCACGTTTCCTGACTTTTTTCCCCTCCGCCTCCGTCTTCTGAAATACATTTGCCTGTCACAGCCTAGTCTAGCTGGTTTCTTCTGACCCAGGATGTAGATGTCATTCTGGAAAAATTGCAGCAATGAGAATTGTCACCCTGCCCACTTGGAGAAAATCACTGTTTGCCCTGGGGTCTAAATCCTTGCAGTCTTTTCTCAGTGTATCAGGGGACTAGATGTGTTTGTTACCCTGTTTTTCTTGATTAATATGAAAGATTTTTCCTTGCCAGGTCCATAGAGTGTACATTTGTTTTTGCCTTTTTATTATGGAAAATTTCAAACATGCCCCAAAAGCAGAGACGTCCTGTGCCCCTATCGGCAGTGACCAAGTTTGGCCCTATCCCTTTCCTCCACTCAGAATCAATTACATAACCAGTAAAGATTGGGCTGCATTTCTGAAATATTCAGCCAAAAATTTAACTTGTGCAGATAATTGCCGTAAAAAACAAAATCAGAAAACAGAAACAAAGGAGAGAAAAGTAATTGGAGGAAGGGGATGGACAGGGGAAGAGCGTGAAGAGAAGGAACAGTATCACCTGACCCCATAGATATGTGGGAGAGTTGGGGCTTTTCTGTTCAAGCTCACTGCCTGATCTTGCTTTGTCCCTTGATGGATAACCTATGCCCTGGATTTTACTCAACAATATTAACACCCAGCTACATACACATCAATATATATTTGAGCATCATTCTTTTTTCTTTTATTTTTTTAAATTGGGGAATTGGGGAAAGGGAACAGTATTGGGGAATTGGGGAAGGGAACATTGTGTTTTTCCAGGACCCATCAGCTCCAAGTCAAGTTGTTGTCCTTCAATCTTAGTTGTAGAGGGCTCAGCTAAGCTCCAAGTCCAGTCTCCGCTTTCAATCTAGTTGTGGGGGGTGGAAGGGGGTGTGTAGCCCACCACCCCATGTGGGATTCGAACCGGCAACCTTGTTGTCAAGAGCACACACTCTAACCAACTGAACCATCCAGCAGCCCATCAGCAGCTCACTGCCACTCAGCTCAAGGTGTCGTGTTCAATCCTAGTTGCAGGAGGGGTGGGGAGTGGGGTAGGGCTCAGCCTACTATCCCATGTGGGAGTCAAACTGGCAACCTTATTGTTAAGAGCACGCGCTCTCACCAGCTTAGAGGCAGCCAGCTCGGGCACAGTTCACTGGCCCATGTGGGAATTGAACCGGCTACCCTGTTGCTCAGAGCTGGTGCTATAACCAACTGAGCCACCCGGCTGGGCCCATTGAGCATCATTCTTAAAACTTAATTTTTAGGAATGACCTCAACGTGATCAGTTAGAAAATACATTCGAGTATTGGAAAACAATCCGCTGGTAGCATTTCTATGGAAAGGCCAATTCTGCCACCAGAGTACATGCTCAGTATGTTGCATTACCTGGCTCGATCTTCACGCCAACACTCCGGGGTCAGAATGACATACTGAGGCTCACACAGCAAGCCCATGTGGGGGATGTATTGAAAGCCAGGTCTGGGGACACTAGGGCCCAGGTGTTTTTAATACCCAACATTCCTCTAGGACATCCCAGTGAGGTCGGCACCCAGGATGGTAAAACCCACCATGCAGCCAGAGAAACAGGCTCAGATCTTTCGGGTTCCAAACCAGATCCTAACTATATTTAGGCCTGCCTTTTGGCACAGCCCGGGGCTGTACAAATGGATGTTGGACGGCGCATCAGATGAAGGTCCCAGCAGGAGCAGTAGCCCAGAGACAGGGACGATTCTGAGCTCTGTGCCTTTAAGGCGGGAGCGGGGCGGGGCGTCCAGAGCCGGCCTACAGTATGACGTCACTCGGGTGGGCGGTGAATACCTAGAGTAAGCCGCGCTCTGAGTCTTTAAGTCTGTCTGGAGGTAGGGCCTGGGAGGCGGGCCCTGATGGCTAATTCACGCCAGGCGCTCTCTTCCTCTTTAAGGCAAGCGGCCGGAGCGAGGCCCTGACGGCCCCTTTAAGGCGCGGCCTAAGTCCGCCGGTAGAAAAGCGGCTTAAAGGAGACGCGTGGCGCGATGGCGGCGGCCCCACGCGTGTGCAGGCGGCGCGGGCGGCCGCTCCCAGCGCTGCTACTGCTGCTGCTGCTGCTGCACCCTCCCGGGGATCCGCCGGGCGCCGCCGCCTACTTCCCGGAGGAGCGCTGGAGCCCTGAGTCACCGCTGCAGGCGCCGCGCGTGCTGATCGCGCTGCTGGCGCGCAACGCGGCCCACGCGCTGCCCGCCACGCTGGGCGCGCTGGAACGGCTGCAGCACCCGCGGGAGCGCACGGCGCTGTGGTGAGCACGGCGCCGCCGGCCGCGGCCGGTCCGCTGCCCCATTGGCGGGTCCACGCCGCGCTCTGCCTGTTGTCCTGGCACCGGGCAAGGCGGGCCAGACCCACGCGTGTTCTCCGCCTGCTGTCCATCGGGCAGGCCAGACCCACGCGTGCCCTCTGCCTCTTGCCCCCATCGGGTGGGCCAAACCCAAGAGTGCCCTCTGCTTGCTATTCCCCTCCGGTGGGCCGGACCAACCCGTGCCCGCTATGTCTTGTCCCCCATTGTGGGGGCCAGACCCACGAGTGCCCTCTGCCTACTGTGCCCCCCGCCCCCCCATAAGGATGGGCGGGACCCTTACTCTGTTTTCTGGCCTCTTTAGGGTGGGTCCGGCCACTGCCTTGCCTGCTGCCCGCCCCCCACCCCCCCAATTAGGGCAGATCCAGGACCACACCCAGGGCAGGCCTTGTTGCCTGGGACTGACTCCTGACCCCCTTTGCAGCACACAAAGAAGGGGAGCTCCAAAGAAGGGGAGCCTGGAGCCACCCTCTGTTGGGGTGTTGCCATGGACCACATTGCACTTCCACTAACTGAATTATCTTTCCACTCCTGCTGTTGCATTGCCCCTGAACCCAGCTTGTATCAGGTTTTCTGACCAAAGTGGGTTGGTGGGGTGTGTGTGTGGACGCTTTCTGGAAGGGGAATGAGGCAGAGCCATGAACAAGCCTGACTGGTAGATTTCCTGCCTCCTGTCTCAGTGTCCTCATCTGGAAAAAGGGAGTATTAATATAATTCTGGTTGGGTTTGTCTCTAAAGATTAACCAGTTAATGGATGTGAAGCCCAGTGCCTGGCATCATGGGTTGGCGCTCAGTGACTAGCGCTGTGGTTATTACTGTCATCACTGCTGTCCTTGTTGTCAACGTAGTGACAGTTCCCTAGGGAGAACAGCTCTGAGCTCCACAGTCAAACTAGACTCCCAAATGTCCCCTCTTCCCTCCTTCCTAGATTCCCCAGCCTGGATAATCCAAGCACACAGTTGGTGCTTAAGAAATATTTGTTGAAATGAATGAGTAACCATAGCCTACTCGGAGTTGGTGTCGCTTATCATAGGAGGGAATCAAGGAAGGTGGAGCAGGACTGTGATGTTTTTGTATTTTTATTAAATCACACATATTTAGTACTAGCCATTCTTATAAGATCCTAGATGCTCAATAGTACTAACAGTGTCTCAATGTGTTTTTCTAACATTCGCTTGTAACCTAGTGAAAGATCCTCACTCCTGTGTTACAGATGAGGAAACAGGAACGGGGAAGGGAAGTCCTTGCCTAGGGCTATGTAGCTGGTGGCAGGCTGAGCCTAGGTGCAGAGCCCAGGTGCTGGGCTGCTCCCCTGTCCTGCCTTTGTCTCCCCAACCTCACTGACTGTCTCCTTCTGCCCCCAGGGTGGCCACAGACCACAACTTGGACAACACCTCCACGGTGCTGCGGGAATGGCTGGTGGCCGTGAAGAGTTTGTACCACTCTGTGGAGTGGCGGCCAGCAGAGGAGCCCAGGTGAGCCCCAGGCCCTGCCCTGAGCCCTCCCAGTCTGACTCAGCTGCATCCCTGCGCACACAGCATCCATGACTCCCCATCATCCTGTGACAGAACCCTAGCCCCTCAGCCTCTGACCCTCCAGCCCAACTCTGCAGCCTTAAGCACCAGCTCTGGCTACTCTGACCCACCCTCAGCTTCACAGCGGGCCATAATTGATCCCTCAGGACCTTTGCCCCAGACCTTTGCCCCAGCCATTCCCTCCACCTGTCTTTTGGGTGACACTGCTTTGTTCCCAGTCTAAGCATCAACCCAACACCAACTCTCCTGCAGTTTGGACCCTGGTTCCTGTCACTCTTTTAGAGTTTATTTCTGTACTCACCCACTACTCAGACCAGATTCTAAGTCTGGGAGAACAGGTTCCAAGTTTGTTTTGCTCTGTGTTCTCTCCCAGCAGCTCCTCCTCTCCCCTAAGCTTTCTTCCTGCTCTACAGATAGCCTGGGGGTTCTCCCCTCTAGGCCTTGGTACCTGCCATGCTCCTTGCTGGGGACACAGCTCCCTCCTCCTGTTTTCTTGCTGACTTTTTCCCAGCCTTCAGATCCAGTTTACCCATCCCTTCCTCCAGGAAGCCCTCTCTGATCACCCCACAGCCTGGGCTCTCTCTGGATTCCAATAGTACGTGTGCTTCCCACATCACAGCTGCCTCTTTGCAGGTCCTACCCGGATGAGGAGGGCCCCAAACACTGGTCTGATTCTCGCTATGAGCACGTCATGAAGTTGCGCCAGGCAGCCCTGAAATCTGCCCGGGACATGTGGGCCGATTACATCCTGGTAAGTTTTCCGGCCCACGGATTGCAAGGTGTGTCTAGGGTGTCTGAAGGGAAAGCAGAGCAGTGGGTGTGGAGACCATCCCTTAACCCTATTTTACAGAGGGGGAAACTGAGGCCTGAGAGGGGATGTGAGTTGTCAGAGGGGATGTGAGTTGTCAGTTGGAAGAGCTGGGATTCTGTATGGGACCCCTGGGTTCCTAACCATTAGATTGTATCCACAACTGTCCTTGTGGTTGGACACTTGGGTCATCTTCACTTTTACCACCATTACCAGTGACCCCAGATCTCCACACCCTGGTGACGACACCCTCTGGGTTACTTCGAGAAGCAGGAGGATGGGCCAGGGGCTAGGGCCATGGCGACACTGAACTGCTGAGGCCTGATTTTCACTTCCTGCTCCTGGGCCGGCACTGCCCCTGGGAAGAAGGAGAGGGTTGAGTGTTGAAAGCAATAATGTTGGATAAATGCCCAGAGGTCAGGGCCTTCCTGTCCGCTTGACCTGGGTGTGATCCCCTCCCCTGGTGCGGATGGGGAGGGCGTTAATGGTACCCGGGTGTTTAGACCCAGTGATGCCAGCCTGACAGCGCCTATGGCTGGTTTTGTATACATGTCAGGCCCCAAGCTGAGGTCTGTACTTTCTTTATTTATCAATCAACACACATTTACAAGACTCTCCCAGTGCCCTGCTGCTGGGCCCTGGGGGCACAGTGAGGATCTGCACAGGCTGAGTCCCACCTTCATAGTGTCCTGGGAAAGGTGGACCTGATGAGAAAACAAACCAAAGTGAGTGAGGAAACAGGAAAGCAGCCAGTACTGTGACGAAGTTGTAGAAAGGTGATTGATGATGTGTCAGTGTCCTGGGGCTACCGGAACAAATTCCCACACTGTGGAGTTTAAAACAGTGGAAATGTATTGTTTCGCAGTTCTGGAGGCTGGAAGTATGAAATCCAGGTGTCAGCAGGGCTATGTTTCCCCCAAAACTTCCAGGAGAGGATCCTTTTGCTTCTTCCAGCTTCTGGTGGCTCTAGGTGTCCTTGGCTTGTGGCTGCATCACTTCAGTCTCTAT